GGAAATATAAAATGAAAAGAAAAATAGAACACATAAGTGGGTATAACAGCCCATCTTAATCTAAAATTTTAAAACGATGCATTTTATGGATCGTTTTTAATGATATATCTTTTCTCCAATTCAACGTTATTCGATATCAGTCTTTTCTTATATTAAGCCAAGTCAATTCACACTTGTTATCCTAACAATCTTCTCTTCAAGTGTGAGTCTACTATTGACCATAAACATGCTCTCCCTATTTGTCCACACTTTGAAGACACCAACTTGCTGCAAATATATAGCTCAGCCCAATAATAACACTTGTAGGCTTCCAAAGTTTTTTCTATTGTCTTCACACTAGGTCTAGGTCCCTTTTTAGAACCAAGCACTAATACCAATTATTGGGCTCAGGGAGCATCTGGAAAGGGGGATAATGTACAGTTGGGCCACCCAATGATTTCAAAAAGATAGATATAGATGAGTATGACACTACATTTTAGTTTAAAACATTAAGTTATTTGTATGAGTCTTTCTCTACTTATATATTTCTTTTTCAATCCAATTCCATCTAATTTTAGACTTTTTCTCATACTAAATCAAGTCAACTCACACTTGACATTTCAAGAAATTTCTCATATTTAAAGAGCAAGGACTTATTCAAAATATTATCTAAATTATGGGGATTGATAGCAGAATATCCAAATTTTATAATTATTGATTTTAGACCCGTAATTACCCGTTGAGTTCAACAATATTCAAAAGCACATCATTGAATTTTGAGATCATCCAATATTAAAGAACATTTCAATAAAATTTAAGTGATTTAAATAAAAAGTGTACTAAATGTTTATTTTTTAGGGAAAATTACATATAGGTCTCATATAAAAGACTTATTTACAAATAAATAGTATGAAATTTAAAAATTATAGCTAAGTCTCTAAGACCTAAGTGTAATTTATGATTGAAGTGAAAAAAAAAAACAACTGTTCTTGTTAAAACACATCAAATTATATCCAAAAAAAGATGAATTTGTAGTTATAAACACCAAATATGACTTGTGAAATAAAATTTTTTACTTATAAATTGTGAAATTGTAATTATAAATAATGATAAATATGACTTCAGTCTTTTATTTATAAAACAAAATATGATTTGTGAAATAAGAATTTATAGTTGTAAATTGTGAAGTTGTAGATGCAAGTAAAAGGTAAATATGCCTGTAGCTTTTTTAGTAAGTAGGGGCATAAAAGTCTTTTTACTTAAAATTTCAGTTATACTTAAATCTCAAGAGATTTGGTTATATTTTTTTAAATTTGTGAGACTTACTTTTAAATAAGTCCTTTATACGGGTATAAATGATTCCCCCTGGTTATAATTATGGACAAGGAGACTAAATCAAATATACATATTTTCTTATTATGTCCTCCAAATCCAAAAATTTATTCTAAGAAGGCAAGGTGACGTTTCAAAATTTAATTACCCAAGTTCTCGTCTGTAAATGGTTTATGTGTTTGATGAGGGGGAAAAAAACACTAGATTAATTTCTTTCTTCTTTTCTTTGGACCCCATATTCATTCATTATTCTCTTCTGGAATGTGGAAATTGACATATGGGCCCCTTGTGAGCCCCGCATACAAGGGGATTATGAAATTTGTGCCAACGAAGTTTACAGGAAAAAGTGAAATCAATTACATATTTTTTGTGAATTTCTGAAGCTGAAATAAATCTTTTTAAATTTCACTAATATTATAAAAATTCTACTTCTATATTTAAAATTTACAGAAGCCTACTTTAAAATAGATCTCTTGCATTACACAAATTTCCCGAGTTTTTTATTTCCAAAATTGTATTAACCTATAATATACTTTTAAAATAATGCCAACCACCCATGAAAATAGAAGGAAGCTTTGTATGCTGTCAAAATATTGAAGAAATTCTATGTTATTTATTTTTATTTTCTTATAAATATTTTATATGTTTTAAAAATAAAAGAAAAAGTGTAAGACTCAATAAAATATAAATAAAGTATTTGTATTTATTATTTTTTAAAAAAAACTTTAAGCAGGCATATGGAAATTTTAAAATAATAAATATTTTGATAATCAATATAGGCAATAAAATTTAATAAAAATTCCATTATATATTCTTAATTCATGAATAACATGACTCACTTTAAATTTGATGTTTTACCCACAGTCTATAATTTCAAAAAAATTCAGGGGAAATAATATAATTTACACAAATTAAACACCTTTCTGATCACACACACATATTAATGATCGATTTATATAATTATTTGTCTCTCTGTTTTTTTTTTATTTAAACAAGTTGTCACTTTTTATATAGAAAACCCTCAAACCATGTACCAGAGCAGGGACCAGACTCCCTCTGAACAAAAGGAAAGAAATCATTATGCTCTAACCCAACAACCGAAAGAAAATATATAAATTTTAAAATTTTAAAATCAGCATACCTTTTTTTTTTGGTAACAAAAATCAGCATACTTTAATTGACTAACATTCATATGAATTGGTCTAAAGTTTTCGAATCACGATAGTATTCAAAAATATGATTTATTCAAGGGTTGTTGATAATGATTTATTTTTGGTAGCTATGTACAGGTGAAAATTAATTGTGTCAACATTAATAGGAATTAGATTTATACTTCTATATTGAATTAATTAATAATTAATGCTACGATCTGTATGGTTCTGGCATTTGGTCCAATGCCATAAAAGTTTTCTCAAATAGCAACATTTTATTTTCTACAATATTTGATTGGTACGGAATTAAAAATAAAAATTAAAATATATATAGTTCAAATTATAATTAATGCAGAAAGAAAATAGAACTCCGCAAATTTTAAACAAATAAACAAATAGAATTCCTTTAGCATTTCATTTATTCTTCATTATTGAATTTTTTTTATTTTTTTATAAGCTATTTCACGTCACCCGATTGGAGCATTGTGGGCCCAATAAATTAAGGGTAACTCTCCTGAAGACGTTTTCTGTATTCACACAAGCTTGAACTCAAAATATGGTATTTATGCAGTTATAATCTCTTCCATTAGGACCAATGTCTATATGATTTTTATTCTATGTACTGTATTATAAATAGATAATATAATTTAAAAAATATCTTGAATGAAAACATTGAAATATTTGAAGAGAAATTTATGATTATATCTATATATATATATATATATATATCAACGTGCAGCGTGAGATATAATAATAGAGAGACTTATTTGAAGAAAGAATTAATAACAATAAGAGAAAATACAAAGAAATGGCCTTGAACTTTCTAAACTTTTACTTAATAATTGATTTAGGCTTTGAACTTTGATTCAAAATAATTTAATTCTCATAATTTATTGAGTCAAAAGTTTTAGAGATTTGATTATTTTAAGACAAAAAATCATAATGACTAATTGTTCATAGTTAAGAAATTGTAAAGATGGTCAATAGTCTTGTAACCTAGTAGCACAGAGACTCTCCTATAAGTAAGATGTTATGAGTTTGATCTTGCTTGTATCCCTAAGCCGCTGGTAGTTACTCCTCTAATTTGAAAAAGAAAAAAAAAATTAGAGAGAGAGAGAGTTTTAAAGTTATGAATTGAATTATTAATTGAAGGTTGATACACCAAAATTGATATTTTTTTTCTTAAAAATAATGTATTGAAAATTGGTATTTTGAGAGGTTCCTTATGAATGTCAAGCTAAGGCGGAATATTTTTGTCTTTTTTGTTTTAGAAAACAAAATAAATATAATAATAGAAACAATCAAAATAATACTTTTCATTAACAACAACCTATATTAGCACTGTTATAAAACATCATTACTTACCTAATACCAGTTCGAAAAGAAAATATTTGGACATGTTCATTGCACGTATATAAGAGGTTTCTAAGCTATATAAGAGGTTTCATTGCACGTATGTGATACGTCCGAGGGAGGTATCCTCATTTAATTAATTTTGAACAAAATAATATAATATATAATATTTACTTTATTTTTTAACCATCTGTTTCTTTCTATGAAAAAGCACACTTATGAAATGACGATCATTTTTCTAAAATTTTATTTTCATATACATAGATTTAGCATTACCAGCTAATTCGTATAAGAATTGTTAAATTTAAATAAATAGAAGTAATTTTCTTAATACGTTTTAAAATTAAATAAAATTTTAAAACTCATTAATTTTAAGAGTGGTGTACTGACTACTGAATCTATGTAAAAATTTCTCTCTCTCTCTATATATATATTTAATAAGGGTTAAATTAAAAGTTTATTAAATTTTTAACTAAAACAAATGAGTTTTAAAATTTTATTTAGTTATATGTTGGAAGTAGCGGAGTACTTCACTTTTAAACCCAACAATGCTTAAAACTTAATTAATCAGTCAAGTTAATTAAAATTTATGGGCAAAACTTATATGTTTAAGTTTATATACTTCATATACTCTTATCCTATAAAATTAAAATAAATAAATTTTAATATATTAATAATATTAATAATAAAAATTTATTATATAATAAATAATTTATAAAAAATACATCTGTCTTGATTTAATTAAAAATATTTTAAATATATAAAATTAGGTGGATAAGTTTTCACCTAAGACTATTACTGTTGATTAGAAAAATGATGTTTTATCGTAGCCGTAATTAATGATTTATTAAATATAAATTTAAGAGGATTTAGATAAACAAGTCATTAGCCTAAACGCATGCTGTGTCACTTCCTCTGACAGGGACTCAATAGAGAGACAGAGACAGAGAACAGAGACTTGCGCGTGGGAGTAGAACTTGCCCCGCATGAAACCCCAAAACACATCATCATAACCCGCCAAATGGTAATCATCAGAGCGTGTGTACCACGCGCCATGATGGGACGTGGGGGAGGTTGCTATTCAAATAATGTAAGCAGGTGGGGCTGTCGTGTATATAATTCATGTCGGAACCTCTTTCCTCTCTTTTTCTCTCTCCCTCTCTCTTATCTTTTGCTTTCCCTCTCTCTCTCCCCCCCTCTTCCCTCCTAATTTTCTCTCTCACCCTTTCTTTCCCTCTTTTATATTTTGATCTCTAACCTAATTCTCTCTCTCCTCTCTCTCTCTTCTCATCCATTCATCAATATCATCCCCTCCACCACCACCATCCTCATCTCTTTCTCTTCTCAGAACCAGAGATTTCAAGATCCTCAAAATCTAGTGGGTCTTTCTCTCCCTCCTCTGCTTCACCCACATAGATCTGTCTCTATACTCACAACTCACTCAGACACACACTCTCACACACAGTCACACATACAGGACAACTACTTTAATTAGAGAGCATAAACCAAGATCATCATCATCCTCCTCATAATCTTCATCCATCATCAGAGACCAAGAGTCAAGACGAAGAAGAAGAAGAAGATCAGTGTTTGTTTGTTGTAGCTAGGGTTAATCTTTTTGTTCATTCATCATCATCACCGATCAACGACGAAGTGTTAGAGAGAAAGAAAGATTTGATCAGATTGATCAAAAATGACTCCGGCGAATTTGGCAGGCCAGTTTGGTGACACGACATACACCAAAGTGTTTGTAGGAGGGTTGGCTTGGGAGACTCAGAAGGAAACCATGAAGAAATATTTCGAACAGTTTGGTGAGATCTTGGAAGCTGTCGTCATCACTGACAAAGCCACTGGCAAATCTAAAGGCTATGGATTCGTACGCCTTCTTCTTCTCCTTCTCTTTCATTTTCCATTCACATTATCACATGTGTGTGTGTGTATAGCCACCACTAGATCTCTGCAAGTTGATATTAATGACTTAGTTTCAATTCTGTGTAGTCTTCTTCTTGTGGTGACGATCATGATTGTGGAGATATTTCCATTTTAGGTAACTTTTCGAGAACCAGAAGCCGCCATGAGAGCTTGTGTGGATGCTGCTCCTGTGATAGATGGGAGGAGGGCTAACTGCAACCTTGCTTCTTTGGGTGTCCAGAGATCCAAGCCTTCAACCCCAAAGCATGGTCTGTACACACACACACACATATCTATATATGTATATATGAATGAGTTTTCCTTATAGTGTCTCTAATAATAATCATCTGGTCTGACATGATGGATAAGATCTGATGAGGCAAAAAGCTTTATATGTATGTATGTATATATATATTCCTCTAATTCAGTTTGTCACTGTTCAAAAGATGCTTTCATTCTTCTCACTCCATTCCTGTCCTTCATACCCAGTTTTGATGGATATTCTCTCTCTCTCTCTCTCTATACACACACACACACACATATATATAAAGCTGGCTAGTTAGGTTATTGTTGTATTTGGACGAGTAACAGAGACCAGGATATATGTACTTAGATCTAAATCTGAACAGATGATCACTGTCAAAAATATTCTGTGGTAAGGGCAGTGGAAGACACACAAACACACAAGTGTTTGTTATTACTACAGACTGATCATGAGTTTGTTTCAAAATATGAATGAATGAATATTCCTTTCTTTCTTTTTTCCTTGTTGATTTTCCAGAGTGGAAAGTTCCATTCTTCTGTTATCTGCATGTGCATTTATTCTCTTCTCATTTACTGATTCTCTCATTTCTCACTAACTGACATTTCATACACCGTCTTGTTTCATAAAGATTCTTATCTAATTCAAACTATAATCCCACTGACATGTACACTTTCATTTATTTGCCAACTTGTCTGTGTAGAATACCTCTCCATCACAGCTGTTTAATCACCTTTTTGAGATTTGAAAAATGTTAAAGTCAGTATTAATATTTATGATTAAAATAATTGTAAGTTACTTTAATTGCTCCTATATATATAGATGTGTGACATCCATATTCTAAAAGGAACATTGCTATGTTTTTCTTTTCTCTCTTTGTTTTTACTGAAATTTTGAGGTTAAAGATCACCTAACCCAGTTGAACAACTCGAATATATACATATATCTACTCAGACACATTCACACTCACACTGACATTACTTTTTTCCTATATATATATATATATATATATGAGACTTGAAGCGAATTTATATGTTAATGTACAAACAACATTGTATCTCGTCCTGTGTTTTTATAGAATTTTGATTCTCTACATTCATGCATTCTCAAGGGAGTGACACAGAATATGCAAATGTATGTGAGGGCCTACATCTATTTTTTATTATTACAGTCAAATCAAACACACACACAAACATGTCAATGCCAGGTCGAGCCCAGGACTTCCTTCCAAATATGGGAGGTGGCATAATGTCACTGGGGCAGCTTGCCGTTGACAGAGAGCCTACATCTTATATCTTTGCATTGAATGTGTTTGTGTGTGTATTTTCTCTATGTATCTTTAATTTCTCCGAAGATATATGAATTAATTTTGTGAGTTTGAAGTAATTATTAAAGAATTGAATTTACAGGAGGAGGAGGCAGGAACTTTAGGGTGATGGGTTCGTTTCAGACAGGGTTTGGAGGAGTAGGATCAACTTTTCCTTCTGCAGCAGCAGCAACACTTCCTCATTATGCTCTCCAGCAAGGAACACCTTATAATGTTTATGGGTGAGAAATTATGACTCTCTCTCTTTCTCTCTCTCTATGTGTATATATATCCTAATATGAAAATTTGGACCCACCAATTGAATTGGTGAACTACTGTTAAACTAGCATCTTATTTAATAAACTACATGATTTTTGACTCTTTGATCTATTTGACCATTAATTTTTGAATTAGTATTTTAATTGATTAATAGTCGATTCAATTTTCAATATCTTGATGTATATATATATATATATATAGCATCATATAACTCTTTCTCTTTTCATTAATGCATGTTACTATATATAGCTTCTCTACTTCTCCCTCTCTCTCCCCCCTAATAGTCTTCTCTGTGAGTCACATGAGTGTACTGACGTGGGGAATGGCACGTGCATTGCCAACTCATAGATGCACAACGAAATTCCACACTCACTTCATCACAACACAACACATTATTATTATTATTAATATTATTACTTTTACTACTTGTTAGGCTTTATCACTAACACAAGCACGCTATGGTATTATATATATTGCTAGCTAGCTCATATCTATATTCTTTTATCATTAGAATCAACCTCCACATGATTGTTACAGCTTTTGTGCATTCAACTCTCTCTCTCTCTCTCTCTCTCTCTCTCTCTCTCATAAAGGACAAAGAAAAGTGGAACACACCCATGTGTAGAGTGTAGACCAACTTTGGTGCATGAAATCATTAACATTAAACGGTGACCTGGAAACTTCAACATCAAGTTAAATCATTTGGAACAGGAAAACCCTAGAAAAACATTCTCATTAGTTATTTTGCTAATGTACGTTGTTTTAAAATAGTTTTATAATCACCATGTTTTTGTGCTTATTGACAGCTTATATATTAATTATCAGAAAAATACGTCAGATAAATCTCTCCCCCATTTTTACTTTTAAAAAATAAATATGACAGTTATTTTTTTGGATTTAAATCTCATCAATTGCTCAAATTATAACAAAAAAATATAATTATGACCCACTTGTCAGCGCGCGCGCGCGCGCACAAATATATGAGGGTATTAGAAGAGCATTTCTGAAGAAGCTGCGCTGTGAGCATGATATGGAAAAGAATGAAAAAAGTTTAATAACAAATAAAATTTTTACGAACGTATAATTGTATGATTTTGTCTGCTTTATTTTCAATTAACTTCATTTTATGTGCTTAACGAAATGCTTAATTATATTCTTTTCAAATTCTAATTACGTTCTCTGATGTTACATTTATGATAATTATTTTCAGGTACTCCCCATATTCGCCGGACTACACTTACCCTACGGTTTGTATCTATCTATCTTTCTTCTATATATAATATATATATATATATATATATAATATATTGGATTTAAATCCTTTGAGGTTGGAATTGATGAATTTCTACAAAATTTTTTTCAGTATTTTTACTTATTTTATTATTTTTGATAAAATATAAAGTCTTTTCTTCCTTTCTTAAGAAAGAAAACTTCATAGAAATTCACCAGTTCCTAATTTTAGAGAATTTAAATATTTTTTTAACATGTCTCTTTGATTAGGTCTGATTTAAGCATTCTATTTTTTTTTTTCATTTGATAATGATCTCTTTATTAGTTTTTGTCTGCTTCATAGCTTTTTATAACTTAGGATGCGTTTTTAAAAACATACCTTTTACGAGACAACAGCTTTTGAATTCTCTTCTAAAAAGCTTTTCACTGTATTACTATTTCTTTCTTTCTTTTTTTTTCTAGGATCCAGACAATAATAGTGCTTAATTCTCAATCAATTAATTATCTTGTACGAATTGTGCTGATAAATTGTTTTTTCTTTCGCCTTCTAAAAAAGGCCGTTTTCAAATATCGATTTTAACGCACTAACTTTAAACTGTATAATATCAACCTTGAAAATAAATTCTTTGGTGTTGATCATTGCAACTTCCAAATTAAAATTGTTTTAAATGGTTCATATTTTTTAAATAAATTTTTTACCCAAAATATATTTTATTTTAAAAGAAGAAAATGCAAAGTAAAAATTAATATTTTGATTATAAATAAAATTTAAAAATAATTATAATTGATGTAAATGAAATTAAATTTAACTTCATTAAACATGCGCATGACCAATGCAAATTAAAGTATTTAGAATTAATTTAATTTATTTTTAACCCAAAACAGACATCATTAACCAAAATTTATATCAAAGATATTTTTATATAATCACTTTCAATGAAAATTTTATCACTAATTATAATTTATTTTTTGATCTCAGAGAAATAATTTGATATTTTACAATAAAATAAAAATGTATTCTTTAATTTAATAATTATTTTCAAAGGAATAATTTATGCAAAATTTAAAGGAATGACTATATTGTTTGACGATGAGGAAGATGAAGAGTAAAAATAAATATTTTTTTGGTTTCCTTTGTTTAAGCGAATAGTCATTTTTAAAAGTATTAGTTATATTTTTTGGCCAAAAAAAGTATTGCTTATAATGTTATATTTGTATATTTATTTTAAAATAAAAGTTTGAAAATAATGTTATAATTAATCTATCATCTTATAATTTAAATAAAATATTTCTAAATCTATAAGTACAAAATATATAAAAAAAAAAGTTTAGATCATTCTATACTTATAAATTATTAATAATTCCACTTATTTCAAAAATTCTTTGTAAATTCATGCATTAACCACTCTACTTCATCTTAATGCATCTTTAACAAGAATGCAAGTGATTATCCAAACTTCCTCAGATTAATTTCAACTATAAATGCCAGTATACGTACAATGGGCAGAATATCAAACCCATGAAAACTTCGACAACTTGTATCTTGTCCTTCCTTTCCTACACAAAACTCCATTATTGTACTTTAAATAGTGTTTATGTTTGAATAATATTGAAAGTGATTGTCTCAAAACAATAATGAATGAATGAATGAATATATATATATATATATATATGAATCAATCAATAAAAAAAATAATTAAAAATAAAGTAACAAAGTGGTCTAAATCTGTTCTTACGTATCATTCAGTACTCTCTTTTACCTCTTTTTCTTCAACATGAACAGCCATGCTTGTGGTCCATTATCACCCACCACTCCCACTTTCCCTCTTTTCTAGTTCAAGTTGGTTTTGTGCTTTAACTATTTTTTTATTAATATTCTTTTTTTCATAAGCTATTTTTTCAATTAATATTCTTAATTCTTAATCATCTCTCATTTACATTCATGTTGTGGTCCAATGTCATATAAGTCAACCTAAATTTGTTTCCATGACATAAATAATAGTCTAATGATTTTTTTAAAACAATTTTTTTCTTTAAACAAATGACATTTATATAACCTCTTTATATTTTGTTTACAAATTATTCAGTGTAACTGGTTTTCAAAAATATGCACAGTTTTTCTTAAAAATGGATTTTTTTTTTCATTTTATAACATATCAGATGAGCTTGTGTAAATTTCATATATCAGTTTCAAAAAAAAAAAAGTGTTATTTACACGACTAAAGAGGGTTTGTGTAATTTATTGTTTACTTTGAAAATTGAAAATAAAAAGAAATTTCTTATAATTCAACTAAACTAAAAAAAATATAATTCACGTACGTAGTTTTTAAACTTCTCACATGATATTCCTTAATTTTAATATATATTAATATAAATAACAAATGCATGCAGGGTTACTATAGTGTGTATGGAGGAGCAACTCAGTACCCACTGTATGGAACCGGACCAGGAGGTATGATGACCAGTGGTGCGGCCGCCGCCGCAGCCATCTACCCATATCTCCAGTTCGGAGAAGGGAGCGGCAGCGGCGCCTTAACCGGAGGCTACACTTCCGGCCAGGGCTACGGGGTTTACTACCCACCACAGCTCTTTCAGTACTCTCCCACCATTACTTCATCTGCTGGGTATGCCCAGCACTATGGTCCACCTATGTCTCTTGCTCCTTCGCCTGCTTTGCAATCAGGTTTGTACTCATTTTTCTAATAAAACCAATTTCATGACTATAATCCTCATTAATTTTTCTTTTTTAATTAAGCTTTAAAAAATTACTACACATAAATAATACTCCCCATATCTCAATTTATAAGATATTTTTGGCATAATTGCATATATCAATGAAGTTCATTAAATAATTTTTTTTATAAGAGAGGTTATTTAGTGAATGAAATAATGAGGGTAGTATAATATTGGAATATCATCAATAATGAAACCTTATTATTTAAAACAGGTCTTACATTTTGAGTTCCAAATAACTTCAAAAAAAAAAATATTTTATAAAATGGGACGGAAGGAGTACTGTTTAAGTTGGCTAAATACTAAAATTGACATTGCATATTGCTTTTTTTTTTTTCATTGGGGGAACTAATTAGGTTGAAAATTTATTATGAACAGGATGAAACATATTCAGCTATGCCACAGACTAACTAAATGAGGGTCATAATTTTTCATCACAATAGACGATAAGATATATACAAGTTAATGAGACACTAACTTCTTTGACAGTGTGTTTTGCTGTGCCGCAGGCGTGAAGATGGCTCTTCAAGCTCCACCAATTCCTCATCGTTAGAGAGACTCATCAAATATTTTCTAAGAAACTTCTTATCATCAGTTAATTGCTTCTCGAGGTTTCCATCATCGTCGTCGTCGTCGTCATCATCAAAAAAAAAAAAAAAAAAACCTTTAGCCTAACCATGGTGCTTCTCTCTCTCTCTCTCCCCACCCTCTCTTTCTTCACTAACACACCAAAAAGTCCATCAATGGCATTCATGGACTTTTTCCCACACATACACAAACAGCTTTAGCTCCCCAAAGGAGCTAAACCTGTAACTTCCTTCAATTTTGAAGAGTCTCATGCATTTCCTCCCTCACATTGCATTTTCTGAATCTAGGGTTCTTCAGGACAAGAACCTGAATATGTAAATTCATCATCGTCATCATCTTCACCGGCTCAGGCTATGTTGGAAATAGCCTGCAGGTTGGTATTAATAGAGATTAGGGCAAAACTCTTGTTGGCTCAGGAAAGGGCTAATCAGTGAAAGTTTTAAGGAAAAAGAATTGTAAATGATCAAGATCAGTAATCACAGAATCAATTTAGGACAGTTAAGAGGCAAACAAAATATTTACTTATTCCCTCCAATTGCTGCTTAGATCTCACCTCTGGGATGAAGAGGAAGGTTTAGCAATCGTGGGCAATGGATGTCCAAGTTTTTTGTATGGTAACATCTAGGGTTTTAGGCTTAGGGTTAGGTTTAGGGTTTTAAATTAGTATAATATTATTAGGTCTCACGTCATGAAGATCATGTCTTTCTAAATGCTTTACCAACTTTAATTTTCAACTTTCATGGTGGTAAAGGGTTTAACCAAACCAATAAGTCGTCTTCTTTCTCATCCCTTTGGGTAAGGGAGAGAGAAAATATTAATCTCTCATCATTAGTACTAATTAACTTCTGTTTAGTTTTTTTTTTTATCTTTTTGTAAAAATTCATTGTGCCTGAACTATGGGAGTTTAGGTCCAATTTTCACTAATCCTTAGGAGGGATAGTGTTTTTTTAGGGTTTTTGGTAGTACATATCATCATCATCTTGAGAAACAACATCAGTGGATGTTTGTTGATCTCACTTTGCATGAAACCCTAGGGAGATATTTTGATTCCCTTTAGGGTTCTTCACTCAGTCACTCACTCACTCATTCACAACTCACTCACTCACCAACCATGGTTAGGATTTAGAGGTTTAATGTCATCTTCTGATCTTTGTCTGTCTATCTCTCTCTCTCTCTCTCTCTCTTCCTCCATTTATCTCTCTCTCTCTATCACTCTTTTGCTACTTTCACATCATTAGAAATGGACCTTGATACTTCTTATTAATTATATGCTTTAGTCTATGATTTGGATTGTAATTAGGATTAATGTTAAGGAGGAAGAGATTGTCAAGAGGATTCATTTCTCATCCCTGCATGTATCATGCATGCTTTGGTTGAGAATGGATTAATTTGCTGCTACTTATTTCACTAAATGTTTTTAATTTCAGACCATATCTATATCTCATTATGATGCTTATTTCTTCCTAATCTCGCATACATTCAATTTGTTTCATGCATGTTTCACCTAGATCCTGATCCATATTCTTGTGGTCCAGATCTTATTATTTTGTTTATGAATTTTCTGAGTTAAAAGTTAGGTTAAATTGCAAATTAACTATAGGTCCAGCAGTGTTTGGGACCCTCAACTCATTTTTTGTGCAAAGTTACCTTTCAACTTTTGAAAATAGTTAAATGTCACCTCTATATTAACAAAAGTTAATTTTAACCATTGGTTAATCAAAAAAGTGACAGAAAAAGACTTCAAAAATTATAAAAAAAAGGACTTCTTTTTTTTTGTGATTTTTGAGTCTTTTTTTGGTAACTTTCTTAGTCATTTTATATAATTTTCTTGATCATTTTTTATAATTTTGATGCTTTTTTTATTTTTTTCATTAATTAATAGTAAAAGTTTACTTTTATCAATAGTAGGGTTGAAATTGTACTATTTTTAAGAGTTGAATGAGAACATTACACTAATAACAAGTTTAAGATCCAAACACTTCATAAGATTGATATAGTTATATAGTTAAAAGATTGATATTATTTTGTGTTTTTCATTATTTAAGATTAAAACATATTAAAGTCTAAAATAAAAAATAAAGAAAAATCTAGATCCAAATAGGCGGACATGCTCTAGATGCAATCAGCCAATCTCTACACATAAAGGGGGGGAAAAAAACCAAATTGACTCTAGAAGCAATGAACAACTACTTTCTTAAAGAGCTTTGGTGGGAATATTTTCTTTGCTTTCGCTCCAAGAAAGCTAATTACTTAGCAATGACTAAAAGAAATATGCTTCCATCTTGTAACAGATGAATTCGACATATCACTGTCATCATTATTGCTATTCTGTTCACAAATAGAAACTCTCTATCTCTCACACACACTGTGTGTGTGTAATAAACATTCTTGGTAATTAATTAATATAATCAGTAAAAAATATTTCAATGTTGAAGGATGTTACATTATTTATTTTGATGTCTTTGTATAACAAAACTTATGGATTTATGTTTAATAACTTTTTTGTTCAAGTGTCTCTATTAGTTCTGCATTAAAGTCCACACTAATGTGTCAAAATTTTTGTTCAAAATTACGTTAAAAATTATCAGGCATCTCTGATCTTGAACAAATATATCATATCTGTTCAATTTAGATAACATACATGCCGTTGAGTAACTCTAATGGTCTAGTGTTAGATTAAATTTTGTTTAATTTAATTAATAATCATGTGGATTGACATTAATTTATTATGAGAATATTTAATTTACATTCTAAGTAATTAGTCTTGTTTTGATATTAAGCACATAACAAGCGGGGCCTTGTTTCCATGTGTGTTGTATCATTGGTTGGGTCCCATAATCCTATTTAGGTAGAGGCTCCTACCTACATCTCTTTATCATAATGAGACAACAATAGAGAAAATGAAGCCTCTCTTCTTGATCGCTGTTGCAATCCTTCCCTATTCTAGATAAAGCTAAAGGGAATAGTTAGGTTGAAGAATCTACACCTTTCTCTCTTTGTCGGGAGATCATTTATGAGTACTTAAGTACGTAAATTACTCGTGAATCTATAAATTTGAGATCCTACGTCTAGATCAATGACGATTTATAAATAACAAGGATGTAAACGAACCTTCTTTTTTTTTTTAAACCAAAAATTTAAGTGAAGAATTGAGTCTTGGGGCTCATCAAAACTAGAGCATGTTTTTAGATTTAAAAAGTACTTATGAAAGTATTTTAAATTATCCACTAACAAATTATTATATTGATAGCAGAATTTAATTTTACAACCTTATAAATTTATAGGTTAAATCTTTACAACTAAATAAACTTTTGTTAGTGTCAACACACATTTCATTTCAAGAAATGATGCGATTCATGTATATTGTTGTAATATACTCCCTCCTTCCTAAATTACAAGATAATTTAAAAAAATTAAAATTTTATCAATGAAAGTTCATAGTTTTTTTTAATAAGTTTACAAAGTATCATTATTGAGTTTTATTGGCATGTATAATCTTATTTCAAATTGTTTTATAATTTAAAACGGAAAGAGTATATTATAATTTGAGGATCTATGTTGGCTATTATATTGATCCAGCGACTGAAAAATTTTGTAAGATACAAATAGCTAGAGAAAATAACCTATCAGAGAGCTTCTCGAATTTTCCTGCAAATTAAAAAATGGTTAGTAGTTGATGATCATGTATTGTTTGATTATTTTTTTCTTGAAGCTTGTTTGTTGGGTTCATAATTTATAAGCTACTTTTAGGTCAAATGCGTGTGTCTGTGTGTGCACGCGCGCGCGCTAATAATAGTAATTATTTCAAGTGAACACAATGGAGTCGAGGCCGTTTGATTAGTATAGTGGTTTGATTTTCATGTTTGTTAGACTAATTCGGTTTGAAGCAACTTAAACAATTTATTATACTGAGCAAGTTGTCTATATATAGCTTGATGAATTGGAGCTTAGTTTTTTCTTTCCCCTCGAGTAATCTCTTTGCTGCCTTTGTTTCATTTTTTTTTAATATTTTTGAATTATTTATATCAAATTTTCACTGTTTAAATTTATTTGTATATTTTTTTCTTATTTTGTACTATTTTAATTAAAATATTAAATTCCAATGTTAATATTTAATTTGAACAATAGAACAGGATGAACCACGTGCAATTGATTATAGGCATTTAGTCTCTGGGCCTTGTATAAGTGTGTCATTGACTGAATGGGCCTTGGGCTGCTTGAACTTATGGCTACAAAGATATTGCCAAGTATATTGAACAAAAAACAATAACCAATAAGCGTGTGTGGTTTAACTGACAAGGAATTTATACTCTTTTAATTAGAGATCTTAAGCTTGAATCTTGTGACTATAGCAATGTTTGGTGTGGTAGAGCTTCTACACAATTATACACCTTCTATTTGGGTAATCAATTTTTTTATAATTTTTAAAATTCATTTTCCAAGCATTTTGGTGATAGCTTGCAAGAAGGGAATGTATTTTTGGACTTTTTTTCTAATAAGAACAATTAATAGATATTTTGAAAATTTAATTCTGTTAGCTACATTTATAAACTTTTTAATGCAACATTGCCTACCTTTGTGTTGTTAAAAAATTTTATAAATAAAAAGATATTTAATTATTTTAAAAAAAAGTAATTAATTAACTACATAACTATTAATTCCTTATTTTGTTTATGTTGTTTAATTTAAGAATATCCTGATAAATAAATGAATTACGTAAACTAATAGATGTATATACAAATTAAAAACTTATTATAAACAAATTTTCTAAAATTAATATAATGTAAAAATGATGACAAAAATGAATGATTATGGATATGGTGGTCCATTTAACGGTGTTAAAAATGCAGAAAATATATTCTCCTTTTTACATACAAAAAAGGCACAAAATATAAAGTTAATGAAGACTTAAAATAAACTTCTTTTCTTTTTCCAATAATAATTGCTTTGATTACTTCTGTCTCTTATGAAATAATTATTTAAATGAGTTAGTGAAATAAAAATCATCATTCAAATTAGATGTGTTCATAAAAGAAATATGGGTCAAGGCCGTTTTTACCTCTTAGGCTAAAAAAGAAATTAATAACATAGAAATAGCGGGTTACTTGATCATATAATTTTCAGTTTCCTAACAAAACTTTAACTTATATCTTTTATCTTACAATTCAATCTTTAAAAAAAGAAAAAAGACGTAGGGAATTAACTAATGGAATGTGGCCAAGTAGAAAATTGAAAAGAAAATGCTTAATGTACACATAAATTCCATACACCATAACTAGTGGCAAGCCTCGTGAAAATAATAATAATTGAATTTAATCAATACTAAATGAGTTATTTTAATTTCCTTAAAAAATTTTATATCTTTTTTAATTATACTCTTGTGAAATATCCTATATCTTATACAAGTGCTTAATAATGACAATTGAAATTTTAATACATTATTTAAAAAAAAGAGTCATAAATGAAAAATTATAAAAATGATCTAATGTTTTATATTTTGGACCAATCATAGCTTCTAAAAAATGCCTCATATTGTGGTCCACAGAAAATAATTTTTTTAATTAAAGACAATCATGTTCATCAATATTAAGTCAGGTATGAAATATTTTTTCTAACTTTATCCTTTTCTAGATTGTGTTTTTGCATTTTTTTTCTTAGATAATAACTCATTATCAACCTTGCTACTTTCAAACAATATTATTGTTTGCTACCATTAAGTCTTGATGCAAAGGTCACAAAATCTACTTGAAGTGGCATCAAACGGATAAGAGGTCTCTTCCTTTTTTTCCTCCCTTTCCCTCCACTTCCCCCATCTCCACCATTCAAATTTTTTTATTAAACAATTTTTTTAAATGAAAAAGTTAATGAATGGTGAACATAGGGGAAGTGGAGGGAAATGGAGCAAAAGGAAGTAGAGAGACCCCACTTCCGGCATCAAACTTGTTCTGATCACACGAAATATAAAGCTGATGAAGACTTAAAACAAACTTACACTTGTACGTGCGCACTGGCTATGTCAGGAAACTAACAATTATATAATTAAGTAACTTGCTATTTTTGTTTTATTAATTTGAATGGTAGTTTTTATTTTGACTAACTCATTTAATAATTTTTTCTTAAAAGATGGAAGTGATCAAAGTAATTATTATTGGAAAAGGAAACAAGTTATTTCAATTCACCAGTTTTATATTTTGTTTAAAGCAAAAAATTTAATTTTTATCCCCCCAATATATATACACACATATCAAAGAATTAATTAACTAAGTCTCTCTAAAACATGTAACATGAGTCCTACCTTCTAAATATAAAACTTACTTTAAAAGAGAATTAATCCTAAATGAACAAAAACCATGTTCGTATGAGAAACAAAATTGTTAATTATGATTGTAGTCAATAAACTTGTTCATATAAAGTTGAGGGAGATCACTTAAAACAAACTACCACGTTTGTGTGTTGTGGGGTATTTG